GGGTGGCCAGCACCACACCCGGCCGCCTTTGTCTCTTCAGTGGTGATGTTTTCCACACTGCACCGGGTACTCATTTTGAGGCTGAGTCAACCTAGTGGAGGCCCAGTACCGGTTCAAACAATCATCGCGGGTGTTGGTAGCCGTGGGCAGGAATCGAGCACAGTGCGCTAACCGCAGTGCCAACGCTCCCCATTATTAAAATACAGTGAGTCCTCGCTTAACGCGTGGCGTTCACACAATGCTATTCGCCCATTTGGGAACAGTTTTCGCACAACGCGGAAATGAGCCCGTTGTTACAGCGGTTTCTGAGCAGTCAACAACGATCCACTTTAGCTGCGCACGCGGCTGAGGGTTACAGTACCGGGAACGTGGCGGCATACCCTCAAATTATTTGTCCCGCCGGCATATTGCGTGTGCGTACATCGTAACTCGGCAAACTTTATCGTCACGATTTTTATGCGAAGATGTTCGTTTCGATGAACGCGGCACTGTTCAGGAGCACATTTACTCCCGCGTGAAACGAGTACTTGCTGTACACACACCCATTCACACCTGAGATCAGCACGGTTGGCTAAATACGGTGCGAAAGAAGTTCTACATATATACACACAACAACCACCGTTCCCCACTCGGTGCCAGTGACACCAGGCGCAGTGAGATGTTAATGACCTTGCCTGGTATACAGGAGGTCGTGGGTTCGACCTTCATGCCTGTATATTTGGAGTTTCCAAGTTCTCCCCGTGGTCCACATTTAGAATCATCATCCGTTTCGTTGTTATACATTCCCACATGGTGGGCCACTTTATTGAGCTGTAATTTGTGACCAGGTCACTTCTAAAAAAGAGCTATATAGCTCAGTGGGCCTTTCCTGGTAAAATAAAAATAGTTTAGTTTAGTTCCGTGTGAAATGTTGGAGCTTTGCTGGCAGGAGGTCATGGGACAGACCCATGTGTTATTGGTTGACTGACTGAGATGACTGGCAGACATACATAGATACAAACATACATACTAACAACATACATACATATACACAACAACAGTCGCCATTCGCTACTAATTGGCGGCAATGTCACGACGGTACTTGTACCAGGCTAGATGCACTTTGAGGCTATGTGAAGTGTCAAAGGCTGGCTGGCACCCAGGTGCCATCGCTTGACTGACTGAGATGACTGGGAGATGCCCCAGCTCTGCCCCCAACAGTAGCAACTATAGAAACAAAGATGGAGATCCTCCTTGTAACCTTCACAGACTGTTGGGGCTAGTACTGTTAGCGAGCACCTGTGAAGGCCGGCACGGCATGCGAGGGGGTGGGTGGCCAACACCACGTCCACCTGCGTTGGTTTCCCTAGCGGTGATGTTTACACACTGCACCAGGTACTCATTTGAGGCTGAGTCGACCTAGGGGAGGCCCAGCACCAGTTCAAATAATCGTCACTGGTGTTGTCTGTGAGTGGGAATCAAACTCGGCTATCCGAGTTCGTGGCGAAGTGCGCTAACCACAACAATAACGCTCCCCATTATGATCACATACATATAGGCACACACACATATATACGTACAAAGACATATAGAGGCTTCCCTCCATTTACAAAGGGGATGTGGTTCTCCAAACAACACGCATTACACGATATTTTGTAAATCTGAACCGCTTTTCCCATTAATTTAACACTAAAGATTGGGGATGTGTTTCGGACATTCCAACTTTACTCTTAACCTGATTGATGATACACCTATATCACTTTTCACAATACAAAAATAGCAACAAAGAACATGGACATTAAAACGATTGAATAATAATGATTAAATATTTTTTAATGAAACTTATTACAGAACTCGCAAAGAGACCTGCTGCACTTTGGGATGACTGGCAGGGCGTAGTGGGGGGCGTTACCGCTGCCACTGCAGGGACACCGTGACGCTGACGCCGATGAATGACGACGCAGCCTCCCGGGTGGCTTCTCGTTTGACCACGTCACGGCGCGTGGCCGTCGTGAACTTTAGCTCAGGCGGAAATTCGATTCCACAGTTTGTCAATTGCGAGAGCGCGAAATTTCGTCGACCGAACGGTCGTAAATCGAGGGGTACCTACGCTCACATACACACGTAGAAAAACACCAAATGGCGCGTAAAGATTTTTTGTTATCTACGACTTGTACATCGTGGCGCGGGTTGATAATGGCCGTGTCAGCTTGCGGGCTGGCGTCGTCGATATCCCGGGTTTGAAACCGGGTTCTCAATTGTGGCGAGCCGGTGGCCTACGCCCGCGCAATCCTCCACCGTTAAACGTAACACGTGGGGGTTTTGCAGCCACGACAAACGATCCCTTTTCGTTGTTCTTGGGGACGTCGCCAAACCCAAAAGTACGTACGTACGTTGAACGTCTTTCGTACGGAGCCAACCTCGCTCATCGGAGGTGCGGGGGAAGGACAACAAACTAAATGTAAAAAGCAGCTCTAAAGAAATGAGCTTTCAGTCTTAAGAGTGTGGATCAACCAGGATTAAATGTAGCCTGAGTACTAAGTTGGGAATGTTCCAGCTCCGAGAGTCAAACCCCCGTTGCGTTGGCAGGCGTGTGCGCTGCTCTGGAGGGGTCACGTAAATTTAAACGGTTCGGAGCCTGATTTAAGGGCCTGCAGAAGTCGTTTGATCAATTATTTCGGCTCGTTTACACCCTGAACCCCCGTCACTTGTTTGTTCAAGGTTGGCCTGCCAAGCTTCTGCGGGGAGGCGGTGACGGCTGCTGCGTGCGTGAGATGCCAACTGAGTAATTTTGCCGGTGATATTTCGCGTTTGTGCAAAAGTTGGAGCGTGTCGCCGGCGCACGCGATGGCCCTCCTCCTCCTTGCGAATGACGTCACGGGATCTTCAGCGTCCGCTGTGAAGCAGACGGGGCGTAGTAGTACTTTTGTTTTATGGTTCATCATTTTGGGACATCTTTAGTGGAAGTTCTCTGGGACAAGGTGGGACGCTGTTCTCTGTGAGAATAAAAATATAATTAGAAGCAAAATCTAAAAGTTAAATCAAACGTCTCTATATGTGCATGTTGAACTTCTTTCGCGCCGTCCGTAGCTAACCGTGCTAATCGGAGGTCATGTCTTAAAAGCAATTCAAAGTTCCGTCTCAGTTGTAAGCCAGGCCACGTGTGTGATGTTCTCGTCTTGTGCGTGGCAAGATGTTCAGGAGCTGAATGCTAATATCGAGGTCTGCTAATCACGACGAGAGGGCTTCAGGAGAGAGTTTGTGCAGTTTTTTGCTGTTCCTCTTCCGTTAAAGGAGCGCAGACTCCGGTCATGCACAGTTTGGGTTGCGTGGCCACGATCGCACTCCTTTGGCTCGGCTCTTTGATTTTACGCTCATAAAGGAGAGGTGCACATCGGCCTGCTGATGTTAGGTAGCGGTTCACGGTTCCAACGGTGTTGTCGAGGTGGAGAGTGGAGGAATCTCAAAGCCAGGAGCTGCCATGTGTAGGTCTCGTATGAGGTGTTTGTTCTGGACGTCCATGTCCGGAATAAACACCTCATTCAAAATAGTTCCCATGTTCGCCAGCGTTCTTCCGTATCTGGGTGGGATTCTACGATGGTGACGGCGGCGGCAACAGCAGCAGCGCGTGTGACGTTATGTTTGAGCGAGAGTACTGCATTTGTTTGTGTTTGAGTGAGTTTTGTGGGCGTGGGTAAAAGGTGCATTGTGGTGGCACACACGCGCCGTAAATCCAGCGTTTGGTATTCGATGCTTTCCACTTTTCCGTTTATTAACCACTGCGACGCGTTTAACAAGAACACTCGCACGCATCTTGCGCTCGCAAAGTCAATCTCAGGGCACGCTTATTTCTACCCCCAGAGGACTCGCCAAAGGGGCAGCTTGTTCCCTGTGTGCCAAAGTGGGGACACAGCGCCGGCCTGCAAGTGGGCAGCAGTTTGCCAGTAGGGGAGCGGTGTTGCTGCTGCTGCTGCTGCTGCGTGGATTTTACCAATGGATTTTTGCAAATTGGACCAGGGCGTCATTACGCACAATGGCCGACTCTTTTTCAAATAACACCGCGGGATTTTTAGCGTCCGCTGTGGGATAGAAGGGAAATATTTTACGGTTAATTCACCCGCGGTATTAACCAGGGCGGCCCGGGGGCTCGAACCACGAACTTCCGCAGCAAGTCGCTCGACGCCGCCGCCACCCTAGCTGAGTGGAGCTGCGGCACGGCGGTTGGGGTAGGCACGCTGTTCACCCGGCGATGCGAGTTCAATTCCCGACCGGGGGTTGACGTGAGCGCGGCGAGCAATATCCAAAGCGGACCCTCGCCTCTGTCTACCTTGAACGACCGCTGTGACCGACACGGCGGTCAGAGTCCTCTGTTCCAGCCGGGGATTGAGAATGGTCTGTGAACTGACTACAGCCGCCTTCTCGAGGGTGTGGTGTGTGCTGTGTCGGAGACCAGTGGGGAACCCCCCCACCTGAGTCTCCCGGAGATTAAAAACAACCCCAGGTTTTAATGTGCCTGAGCAAATGCTGCTGAAGAGAGCAGTGCAGGAGGGCCCCATTGCCCAATAGCGGTTCCATAGATTATTTATTTTTCTTTCGAGAAGTGAAACGATGTCTCTTATCTCTGTGTTTGCCTAAGGAGCGGGGACAGGGATTTTATGAACCAGTGCCGTGAGATACGATGCCTCGGTTCTGAGTCGAAGTGAGCAGCAGTGAGCAGAGCAATTGTGGCGAGGGACGGGTCAAGGGGGTGTAAGTCTTTGTTCCACCGTCGTTAGAGCCTCGGTGATTGCAGTCACAAGTACACACGCCTTATTATAGTGTTGCGTCAAGCTAGGACCTTTATCTAACAGAGATAAGGGTTCTTACTTACTCACGTCTGTCAGTTCACTGGCATTGGTTCAAGCAAGCAGCCTGACTCTGCTGGCAGAACCGTGTCTCAGTTTGGCTCATGTTCAACCAGTGCTGCTGAAGCTGTGCCGTGATTCGTCATTACCCCCCCCCCCCCCATCTGCTGCCCTCAGGGACGCATTGCGGCTTCGAAGACAACTTTGCCGACATGCTGTCGTCGACCATGGGTCGGGGTCCGGGCAGTTTCGACAACGGGGCCGCTGATGGTAGCGGCGGCGGGGCCGTCGCGTCGGCCCCACCGCGCCGCCGCCTCATGAGCGACCCGCCGCCCTTGATATTCGACGAAGACGCGTTCGGCACGGGGCCGGTGCCGGATCCGGTCGCCCGGAGCACCGGAGCGGCCGGGGGGATGGGGCTCGCGGCCGAAGCGCCGAGGCCGGCGCCCAGGAAGCTGCCCCCGCCCAGGCCCCCCAAGCCCCCCGCGGCGGCCGCCGCCACCGGGGAGGGGGGGGAGCGCCGCCCCCCGCCCAGACCCCCGCCTCCGGTACCCGCGCGGCCCGTGCCCCGCAGCGTGGGGTGAGCGGCGTCATCGTCGGCGTCCTCGCTACCCCGCGTCGTCGTCGCGATTGCATAGCGATCGTGACGATCATCGTCATCATCACCGATTTTGCGATCATCATTATCATCATCGTCTGTCGCATCATCACCATTGTCATCTGTATGGGGATTGAGTCTTAACCTCCCCCCCCTAACCTCACACGAATTCCTCCCACGTGAATAATCAATAACAGAGTTTGCCTCCGTGCGGTAAACTGTGCACATTACAAATTCTACGGCAGCTTGTTTGAGATGCAATTTGCACAAATGATGCAAAATATGAATAAAATATTATTGTTATCGTTATTATAATTATTGCACTATAATCGTTACCGGGGTCACGTGGTGGTTGAGCGTTGTGCCGGCCAAACCACCTAACTAACTAAACTTTGTATTTTACCAGGTGAGGCCCACTGAGCTTTAATGCTCATTTTTCAGATGCGACCTGGCCACAAATGATAGCTCAACAAAGTGACTCATCACGTGGAAATTTATAGCAGCCAAATACTCTAAACGTGATGTTGATTTTAATTGTGGAGGGAAAAGCCGGAGGACCCGGAAAAAAATCCACCCGACCACGGTGGAGGAGACGCAAACTCCAAATACACAGCAGCAGCAGGCGTCAGGGTCGGGATCGAACCCATGAGCCGTGCATACCAGGCGATGTTGTTAACATCGTGGTGTCCCACGGTGGCGAGACACGCTGCGTGGGCCGAGACAGTCGCTCGGCGTCGGCGCTGCTCTTTGCGCCGCGTGACGCGGGCGTCCCCGTGTGCACGTGTGCAGGCAGCTCACCCGTGTGCACGCGTGCAGGCAGCTCACCCGTGTGCACGCGTGCAGGCAGCTCACCCGTGTGCACGCGTGCAAGCATCTCACCCGTGTGCACGCGTGCAGGCAGCTCACCCCCGTGTGCACGCGTGCAGGCAGCTCACCCGTGTGCACGCGTGCAAGCATCTCACTCGTGTGCAAGCGTGCAGGCAGCTCACCCCGTGTGCACGCGTGCAGGCAGCTCACCCGTGTGCACGCGTGCAGGCAGCTCACCCGTGTGCACGCGTGCAGGCAGCTCATCCGTGTGCACGCGTGCAGGCAGCTCACCCGTGTGCACGCGTGCAAGCATCTCACCCGTGTGCACGCGTGCAGGCAGCTCACCCGTGTGCACGCGTGCAGGCAGCTCACCCCGTGTGCACGCGTGCAGGCAGCTCATCCGTGTGCACGCGTGCAGGCAGGTCATCCGGCAGGACAGCGATGGGTCGGCGGCCCCCATGTCGCCCCTCACCACCCTGCGTGCGCTGGGGCCCGAGCGCATGTCGGTGCAGCGTGAGGCGCTCATCCAGGAGATTATGCGGCGGCGCGCGCACGAGTTCACCACCAAGTGCACGCTCAGGTGGGGCTCACCGCGACGGTCGCCACCATCGCCACCGTCGCTACCACCGCCACCACCATCACCACCATAATCGCCGTGCTGTCACAGCTTCGGCTCACTGCTCACTCCGTTTGTTTATTTGGTGGCGCTACTTGTTTTCTCGCCGTTGTGGCTCTGTGCGGTAGTGCGAGACGTCTGCACTGTCGAGTTTTCGTGCCTCAGATCTCCCGTGCCATAGAGGCTTGTGCGTCTCGGCGGGCTGTCGGGCTGGCTCCGGCTTTAGCGGAGGTCTTCACCCAGCAGCGGGATGGCGCAGCTGCTGCACGCAGCGGTGGAAGTGTTCCCTTCCCACCGGCCCTCATCGTACCGGTGCGGTGGTTCAGGAGCGCGCCGGTTCGACTCAGTCCCCCCGCCGCGGAAGTTTAAACAACGGAGGCGATGTCCCCCCGAACGGTGCGTCTCCTTGCAGGTTCTTTATCGGCACGTGGAACGTGAACGGCCAGAGTCCGTACAGCAGCACCCTGCACAGCTGGCTCAGCTGCGACGAGGAGGCGCCGGACATCTACTACATCGGGTACGCCGGCACGGCCGCACGCGGGCGTCGGGCGCCCGTGGCCGCAACGTCGCCTCGACGTCTCGAGAGGTCGTGGGCACCGTTGGTGCCGCGCCAATGCCACCATTAGTACCGCCACCACCGCCGCCACCATCACCACCACCGTCCAGCTTTCGTGCACTTGTGATTACGTGTGTGAAAGTCATCACGTCTGTACACGCGACGTGTGCTGTGTGTGTGTGCACGATGCAGATGCACTTTGTGTGTCTGATGTATCCATGCTTTGTGTGTGTGTGATAGACCGCTCTGCGTGTGTATCACACACACCCATACCGTGTGGGTGTGATGCACCCGTGCCATATGTGTGTGAGATACACCCGTGCAGTGTGTGTGTGTGATACACCCGTGCCATGTCTGTGTGTGTGTGATACACCCGTGCTGCGTGTGTGTGTGTGATGAACTAGTGCTCCGTGCTGCGTGTCCAGGTTCCAGGAGCTGGATTTGAGCAAGGAGGCGTTCCTGTTCAGCGACTCCCCGAGAGAGAAGGAGTGGGTACAGGCGGTCGTCAACGGCCTGCACAGCGGCGCAAGCTACAAGCAGGTGACCCCGATTACCGGTCTGGCTGCGGTCAGAAGTTTGAGTAAAATTTTCTGTTGAGATTTGAATAACTCAACACCGTCGTTCCTCCGAGGTCGGCAAAAACTCGGCGCTACTTCGCCCGTGGTCGCTTTGGTTCGCTGACGAGCGCACACGCGGGAGCGAAGCGCGCTCCCCCGACCCTGATGCCTGCTGTATATTTGGAGTTTGCGGTGTCGCTTTCTCCCCGTGGTCGTGTGGATTTTGTGGAAAGTCGACAGTGATCGTCCAGCATAGACAACCCTCCGGGCGGTCTTGTGGAGTCAGCTGTGTGGGCGAGCGTCGCCCGCGACGAGACAACGCGTCCACGTCCACTAACCGCCGTGCTGCTGTCGTTGTTCCTGCTGCTGCCGCCGCCGCTACCGCCGCCGCTGCCGCCGCTGCGTTCAGGTGACGCTGGTGCGCCTCGTGGGGATGATGCTGCTCGTGTACGCGAAGGCGGCGCTGTGCCCGCACATCCAGCAGGTGGTGACGGACACCGTGGGCACGGGCATCATGGGACGAATGGTGAGCGCGCTGTCCCGACCGTGGCGGCCGCCGTTCCGCTCGCCGCGGAGTCTCTGGCGCACCGGGTCGGAGCTCCCCCGGCAGAGATGCTGGCGGACGTCCCGTTTTATGTTCGCCCGTCGGCACGAGCGTCTCGGGCGTCTAGATTATTGAGATTTATTTTGCTGCTGTATATTTCCACGTGATAAGCCACTTTGTTGTTGAGCTATCATTTGTGGCCAGGTCGCTTCAGTACTCTTTACCTGGCCATTTTTAGTGATTTGTTTACCTTTCCTATACTTAGCACTCGTATCGTGTTTTATATTGTTGTAGCATTCTGACCTGCCCCTGACTGGACATCTGTGAAAAAAAGCTTTATAGTTCATCGGATTCCTCCAGTATGATTAATATTCTGATTCTATCTCCTTTACCGAGCCGACGGGTTCCGGCTGTGGTCGAGATTGGAATCTGAGGCTCGAACTTTACTCTGAAACAATCTCATTTTTCGATTTAAAGCTTTCGTGACTGCAGGGATTCATCTTCTTGGTTCTTTCGGTAAAGGCACGTCTAAGGGAAATAATAAAATAATACAAATTAAACATCATAAAATAATTCTCACGACGTTTCGGCCACAACGCAAGCAGCCGTCCTCTCTGAATGAGACGCTGTCTTTCCGACAGACCTGTTCTTCACCTGAGGACGGCTGCTTGCGTTTATTATTATTTCCCTTCAACGTGACTTTACCGAAAGAACCAAGAAGATGAATCTCATTTTTGTTGTTGTGTTTGGTTTGTGTTTAGTTTAGTTTGTGTTTAGTTTGTCGTTCTTCCTCCGCACCTCTAATGAGCACGGATGGCTGTGCACAGTGCCAATAGAAGTTCAACATCCATGCATATAGTTTACTAGGCCGGCAGAGACGGGCACCGTCTAAAGGACTTGCGAGTAATCTCATTTTACGAATGAATTTGTTATTTGTAATCGGTAGCCAAATGACACAAGACACAGTCATCTGGTATTTGAAACTAAATTACAGCTGTCTAGTAATCGGAATCTACTTCGTCCATCTCTGCGTCAAAGCAGAAATAAATTATACCGTTTGATCGTACAATCTTTTTTTATTCACGAACCTAACATCGACTGAACATGGTGTTGTGACCTGCAGTTTTGTGGTTTACTGAGTGGGTAGGTGGGTGAGTGTGTGACTGTGGCTCTTGTGCGTGAGCCATGACTGGCTGCTGTGTGTTCTGCGTGTGTCACATGCGTGTGTGCCGTGCGTGTGTCGCGTGTGCGTGTGTCCCGATCTTGTGTGCTGCACATGTGTCCCGCGTGTGCGCCATGCGTGTGTCGCGTGCGTGTGCCATGCGTGGCTCCCCAGGGCAACAAGGGCGGCGTGGGCGTGTCGCTCATGCTGCACGGCACCAGCGTCTGCGTCGTCAACTCCCACCTGGCGGCGCACACGGACGGCTGCGAGCGGCGCAACGAGGACTTCCGCGACGTGTGCGCTCGCATGAGCTTCCAGAGGGACGACCCCGCACGGACCCTGCTCAACGTCTCGAACCACGAGTGAGGGGGGGCGGCGGGGGTGGTGGGGTGGTGCTAGAGGGAGGGGTTTGCTCGAGGTGGGGAGGCGCGTAGCCACACGGCCTTCTGGGAGTGCGTACTTTCAGCAGGATTGGTTCCAACGCAAGCAAACTTCGGACCGGGTTTTGACATTGAGTGTCTCATCAGCCGATACCGGTGATTAGGCAAGGACTCTCTCCGTTAGACACGGGATCCTTATTCGACACGAAACTCTATCACACGCAACGCAAAATAAAACCTAGCGTCGCTACGGCAGTTGAGGCGTCTAAAACGTGGATTCGTCCCCTGAATGTGAGCGGTGCCGACTCGGCGCTCGGACTTGGCCCTTGTGAACCCGACCCCCCCAACCCCCCCTACCCCCTGACCCCCCCGACTCCCCCGACTCCCCCGACTCCCCTGACCCACCGCCACCTCCACCACCACCTCGTCGTCGCTCCGTCTCACTCGCACGCCCCCGGCGTTCCTCTCCCCGCAGTGCCCTCATCTGGCTCGGGGACCTCAACTACCGGATCAACAACCTGCGCGCGGACGAGGTGAAGCACCTCATCAACAACTGCGACTACAAGAAGCTGCAGGCCAACGACCAGGTGACACCCGGTGGCCGGCGCGGCACGAACGCGGACCCTCTGGCCCCTGGGTCGGGGCCCGGGAAAGCTGTTTCCTTAGCGAGGGGCTGAGCGCGGCGCCGGCAAACGGCGCCAGCGACGAGCGCGGCGGTGCGTGGTCCGAAGAGGGGGGGGCCCCCCTGTGGCGAAAGAGCCAGCCGAGCCGCGGCGGCGCTCGCGATCGGAGACGTCTCGTCTCCCGTCTGCAATTGTCGATCGATGTCGGGGTCGATACGTTCTTTAAAGCGCAACTTGCTATGAGGTTGAAGGGGTGGGCAGTGTCCTGCATGCAGATTTAGAACCTTCCACAGACGAGGTCCTCTTCTCCTTCTTCTTGGAATGACAAAACCTCGAGAGCCCGAGGTCTCCACGGGGACCCCGGGGAGCCTCGTGGCCAATGGCGACGCTTCGCGCTGACGGAGAGGCGCCGGTCGTTTTCTCGCGGCCAGTTGCCGTGACCTGCCCCCCGGGTCAAGAGCAGTGGGACCTTTCTCCCTGGTAAACTGGCTCTAGCCGCAGCTCCGATTCGCATGGTTGCATACGTACGGTGCGAAAGAAGTTCAACGTACATACGTACATCATCGCTGTATGCCTACTACTGTCGGTGGGTGGCGGGAGGGAGTGGGGGAGGGCTACATGTCAGCCGGAGCTGTCCAGGCCTGAGATCCAGGAAATAATTTGGCCACAGGGATTTCAATGGAAAAATATTCCCTGAGGAATGAAGCCCTGCTGTTGCCAGGTGCACGCAGCTGCCTTTAGCCTGACGCTGTGGAGGCAGCAGAGCAAGCGTTGGTGAATCACTGCAACACAAATGTTGAGAAACTTTCTCCCCGTGGGCGTCAAGGAGGTCCTCCCGTACCCTGGCTCGCCAGGAGAAGACAACAACAGGCCACAGCAGGGGAGGTGGAGCAGGAATACTGAGAGTGGGCGGATATGATACCCTCAACGTGGCATGTATTAATGTAGAACTTCTTTCGCACTTTAGGTAGCCAACCGTGCTCATCGGAGGGGCGGCGATTAACCAGAGCCCAGCCCGCGTGTCGCCGTGGGCAGAGCTGTTGGCTTGCATGTAGATGCTGAGCACGGGTAACACGGCCAGCAGGGAAATCTGGGTACAGAGACAAACATCCCCCTCATAGACGCAATGGACTTTGGTGGCAAGTGCTGTTCGTGAGCGCCTATGAAAGCCGGCGCGGCACACGAGGGGATGGGTGGCCAGCACCACGCTCGGCCGCATTTGTCTCCCCAGTGGTCACGTTTACACATCATGTGCTCATTTGAGGCCGAGTCGACCTGGGGGAGGCCCAGGACCGGTTAGAAAATCGTCCCTGTTGTTGACCATGAGCGGGAATCGAACTTGGGTCGCCGGATTCGCTATACTACTACCTCTCCCCACACGCACGCACTCACGCGCTCACACGCACGCACTCACGCGCTCACACGCACGCACTCGCGCTCACGCACACACTCACACACGCACTCGCGCACGCACTCGCACGCACTCACACGCACTCTCATGCACTCACACGCACGTACTCATGCACTCACACGCACTCACACGCACGCCCGTGTCCACAGCTAACGCAGCAGCAGCTGAAGAAGGCCGTGTTTGTGGATTTCCGGGAGTCGGAGCTCAGCTTCCCTCCCACCTACAAGTACGACCCGGGCACTGACAACTGGGACACGAGGTGAGCGAGCGAGCGAGTAGGCCCTGTTTAATCCTGTAGTGTACGTGTGTGTGTGTGTCCTCAGCCTGCTGCGGTTATCATGCTGCTCTATGAACCCGATGACCCGAGTTCGATTCCCGCTCACGGCCAACACCAGTGAAGATTTTCTGAACTGGTCCTGGGCCTCCCCTCGTCCGACTTAGCCTCAAATGAGTACCTGGTGCGGTGTGTAAACATCGCCACTAGGGAGACAAAGGTGGCCGGGCGTGGTCTTGGCCACCCACCCACCCCCTCACGTGTCATGCCGGCCTTCATAGGTGCCACTCGCTAACAGCACTTGCCCAAACAGGCTGTTTAAGGCTATACGTGGGGTCTTTGTCTTAAAGTCTTAAAGTCACTTTATTGTCAAGTGTGTTACATGCATGACATATGTAGGGCTGTTACAGAGGGGCTGTTTGTGTAGGGCTGTTTGCATAGGGGCTAACGGATAACAAACACAGTGGGCGGGGACTCCGTGAGCACACGGGGTGGTGCCCGCAACGACGTCCGTACTGGACGGCGTGAGGGGGGTTTCGATCCTCTAGGGGGGTATAAAAAGGGTTGAGCCAGAGAGCTCGGGGCTCAGTCTTAGTGTAGTTAAGGGAAGAGAGAAGACCGGCCAGATAGGCCCTGGACTCCCCCTGGGACGCCGCCCTTGTAAGGGCAGTGCAGGCTGGAGCCAGTGGCGTGGTCCCGGAACCAGAGTCAGACCTCTGGGATTCCAGGTACCGTAGCCCGACTAACCAGTGTCGGGCCAGATAGCCTCCCCTAGCCCGTTAGCGGAGGACTCAGCTAGGAAGGCTAGCTAGGGGTGAATTCCCAGTTGTACGGGTGAGGGGGCCGATACATCCCTCCAGTATTGTAAAGACATTGTGCAAATAAATACGTGTGCCTTACCCCGTTGTCCACGCGTCTTCAAGAACACTTCATCTGGCGTCAGAAGAACCAAGAACATGGACACGCGCCAAACAGCTCGAGCCAGGGAACAGCAAACGGAAGACGCCGCCGAAATTGTCGAGCCCGAGATGGCTCAACAAGACGACGTGCAGCCGGGGCCGGACGCGTTCTTGCCGGAGCATCGCCATGGAGAGGAGCAGCGGACAGACCACCTGAGGCTGGCTCACGAGAGGCTGGCGGAACTGCTCTACGCCGCTGCCGCTACGCTGGAGAACATCACACGGCTGGGGGCTGGTGGTCCACCGCGGGGCGAGGGGAACCGGCGTCCGGAGCGCCTTCCCGCCATTTCTGAAGATTCGAATTTTGAATTTCCCGCCATCGACGCGGCGACCGCTAGGGGCGTGGCCAACCTCAACCTGGGGTCCGACATCGGCCGCGCTGGGGCTGCCGCATCAACGACGGAGGAGGGCGCGTCATCAAAGCTGCGACAGGCGATGCCATCTGCCGTTCGCGCCGAGACGCAGCCGGGTCGGGGAGACAGCAGCCCAGAGGACTCCACGGCAACTGCTGCGCTGCATCAAAGGCTGCCCCCGCTTAAAGAATTCGTGGGCGCAGAGGGCGACTGGAGCGGCTTCCGAAGACGCTTCCTCGCCCACCAAGAAATGGCTAAATGGACAGACGCAGAAGCTCTCAACGCCCTGCCGGCGCTCCTGGACGGCGACGCGCTTGCCGCTCTAACATCGGCACCGAAGGAAAGGCGCTCTACGTTACCAATGGCGCTGCAGCTGCTGGGAGGGGTCTACGGACCATCGGCGGAATGTAGACAGGAGTTCTACGACCGCAAGCGGGGAGAAAAGGAGTCGCCCCTGGCGTACCGAACGAGCCTCCTGGCGTTGGCCAAGTCGGCCTTCCCCCGTATGGATGACGACGGCATCGACGCTATGGTGACGGAGAAAATACTCCTCCTGGCTGACGATCTTGACATCGCTGTCGTCGCACAGGAGGACGCGGAAATGACATCGCTCCAGGCGGCGCGGCTCCTCCACGCAAACCTCCTGTCGCTCCGGCGAAAAGCCAGCAGGGCATCGGCGGGGCGTGCGGTGGCTGCAGCCACCCTTCCGACGGAGGAACTCTACGCCGTCGACCACCGACGGCAACAGGCGACGAGTGCACGGCCGGGCCAGGACGGGTCGGGCCGTTCCGACCATTCGTCACCTCCGACGTCGCTCCCGCGGTGTTTTAACTGCGGCGTCCGGGGCCACGTCGCCTCGGGGTGCCGCTCTCCTCGTCAGCGCGGGACGACACCTCACCGGGACGACGGGCCTCATCCCAAGCTCCACCATCAAAAACCGGCGAGTCGCGGCACCCCACACGTTTGGCCCACACACACACCCGTCACGCACTCAAACACCGCGACGAGAGGGGGGCCGGTATCACGCACCATCGCACCATCACGCACCACTCCGGGTACCCATATCGAACCCGGCCAGTGGTCCGTGCTGGCCGATCGTGTGGTTGCCGCATCGTCGGGATCGTCGGCCGTTGTGGGGTACATCGACGGGGTTGAAGTGCGCATCCTGGTCGATACGGGAGCATCGGCGACTATTATTTCGGAATTAATTTATAATATTCTCCCCGTCCGGAGTCGTCCCTTGATGCCAGTTAACATACCATTCTATGCGGCTAACGGGGGCTCACTTGGCATCATCGGACAAATTCGTGCCCAAATTTGCATCGGGGAAATAAAATTGTCTGGGCCGATTTTTGTTTCTTCCTCGCTGGCGGTTCCGTGCCTGCTGGGGACGGACTTCCTGGCCAAAATGCCGATTGTAATTTTGATCGACCAGGGGTGCATAGAGCTTCCATCGGGCAGACGCATGGCGTTTCTGCCATCGCCGGTTGCGACTCGGACGGCGTTCGCGACGGTGCCGGCGCTCGTGGAAAGAACGGTACGCGTTCCTCCGGGGACGCAAATGCTGGTACCCTTGAAACTTCGGCGGCCCCTCGTTAAGGGTTCTGGGGCACAAGGGGTACTGTTGGGACCGTCTAGGGCCGGGGTTAGTGGACCTGACTTACTACCGGCCCAGACCATAGTGAGAGGGGATGGTGAACCCTTCATCGCGGTCCTTAATGTGGGCTCGCGGACGGTGGTGATCCCACAGGGGACCGTGCTTGCTCACGCAACACCGGTGCCGTGTGAGGAACCCGCCGTAAATTGCGTCAACACTGTCCCTGCGTCGCGACCGCATTCGGACAGCGATGAAGGGTGGCTCGAGGCGCTTTGTGCGGGATCGACGGACCTGTCCGATTCAGAGCGTCAACAACTTAAAACACTACTGCGAGAATTTTCCGACGTTTTTAGTCGAAATAAATATGATTTGGGTTGCACTCACTTGCTGCGTCACCATATTGACACGGGTGACAGCGCGCCAATTCGCCAAAATCCGTTTCGGTTGAGTCCCGCCGAAAAGGACCATGTCAAATCGGCTGTTGATGACATGTTGGCCGCGGACATCATTTCTCCTTCCACCAGCCCTTGGGGAGCGCCGATCGTCCTGGTTAAAAAGCAGGACGGTTCGTTGCGGTTTTGCGTTGACTTCCGGCGTCTTAATAAAATTTCGGTTGCCGACGCATACCCGCTCCCTCGGATGGATGAATCGCTTGACGCCTTGGCGGGAGCGCGATTCTTTTCCACACTCGATTTACTTTCGGGATTCTGGCAGCTTCCTCTGGATGATGAGTCAAAGCCTAAAACTGCTTTTCGTACACCGCACGGCTTGTTTCAATTCAACCGGTTGCCGATGGGCTTACACTCAGCGCCGGCAACTTTCCAGCGCTTAATGGAATTGGTTTTGGCTGGACTGCAATGGGAGTCGTGCCTCATTTATTTGGATGACGTTATCGTCTTTGGAAAAACCTTTGATGAACATCTCCAGAGGTTGCGGGCGGTTTTCCTAAAGATGCGGGCTGCTAATTTGAAATTCAAGCCCCAAAAATGCCATTTGTTGCGTGATTCGGTGCGTTATTTGGGGCACATCGTGGGACGCTCAGGTATTGCTACCGATCCCGCCAAAACGCAGTGTGTCAGCTCCTGGCCGACTCCCACCTCGGTGGGAGAGGTCAGGAGTTTCATTGGGTTCGCGTCGTATTATCGACGGTTTGTTGCTGATTTTGCGACAATTGCTAAACCCCTGCACGCTCTAACATCTAAAGGGGTTCGGTTCCACTGGGGTCAAGAGGAGGAGGCTGCGTTCCGCTCCCTTCGGGACGCCCTGGTGAAAGCCCCTCCCTTGATCTACCCTGATTTTTCGAAGCCCTTTTTGCTCGACACCGATGCGAGCAACACGGGTATTGGGGGTGTGCTTTCCCAGGTGGTTGATGGCGTTGAACGGGTGGTCGCATACGGTAGTCGGGTGTTGTCTCCTGCGGAGCAGAGATATTGTGTCACCCGTAGAGAACTGTTGGCAATTGTTTTTTTCATCCAACAGTATCGCCCATATCTGTACGGTCGGCATTTCACCGTCCGCACAGATCATGCGGCACTACAGTATGCCCTGCGGGTTCAACAACCATCGGGACAGTTGTCTCGATGGTTGGAGGTCCTCCAGGATTTTGATTTTGAGACCACTTACCGTAAGGGCGTTCGCCATACCAACGCGGACGCTCTGTCACGCATGCCAACCACCTCGGAATGTGCATGCCTCCTGGGGTCGGGACGTTGCAGACCTTCAGGGGACGCATCGGTTCCGATCCTGGCAGCCACCGACGACGACGAACCACTGCCTGATAATTCGATCGAACAACAGGGAAGGGATTCCCTGTTGGGGTTGCCCGTCACTGAGTGGGGGCGCCTCCAAATGGAGGATACCTCCCTCCTCGGGTGGCGTCGTCGCGTCGGGGGTGCCGGCCGGGTGAAAGGTGATTCGGGTGCATGGGAAATGGTACAGGGTCTGCTCATGCATTGGGACGCGAAATCGCAGCGACATCGGCTGGTCGTCCCTTCGGAGTTGCGAGGCAAAGTGGTGTGGGCCGCGCATGAGCGCCTGTTACATCTGGGGACTCTAAAGACCCTTGCACTGATACAACTAGATTTTTTTTGGCCTGGTATGACGAAGGATGTTGGGGATCTTTTGAATTCATGCCCGCGGTGTGCGCAACGGAAACCGCCGGCACGGGAGTCTAACCCGCCTTTACAATCAATCAAGGTGTCCAGAATAAATGAGCTTGTCGCGCTGGACATCTTGGGCCCATTTCCCGCCACCCCCAGGGGCAATAGGTATTTGCTGACAGGAGTCGAGTATTTTACGCGCTGGCCCATGGCCTGGCCCCTTGCCAACCAGTCGGCAGCAGCCATCGTGGACGCCTTTGTTCAGGGATACGTCCTGGACAAAGGTGCTCCGGAACGGCTGCTGATCGACCAGGGTAGAAATTTTTCAAGCAAATTGCTTAAACAAGTCTGTGACCTCTTAGGCACAAAGAAAATTCGGACCTCCCCGTATCACCCACAGACAGACGGAATGGTCGAGCGCCTGCATCGCACCATTTCGTCTATGATGGCACAGCAGGTCTCAGATTCTCAGACTGATTGGGACCTGCATATTCAGGGGGTCTTGGCGGCATACCGGATGGCACCCCATGCAGCTACGGGATTTTCCCCCTTTTTCCTTATGTACGGTCGCGAACCCGACCCGCCTGTTCGCGCCCAGCTGCAGATCCCCGACCCGCAAGGAAAAACTAAATTGGCTGACCACGTCAAATTTAATCTGGCTAAATTAACAGAGGCGCGGGATGCTGCGAGGTTGAACTCGGACCTCCGTCAAAAGGCGAACGAGCGCCTCAGGCTGGGTCGGGCGCATGTAATACAGTGGAAACCGGGGGACAGGGCATGGTTGCACTGTCCCCAAGTACCCCTGGCCACCTCCCCTAAGCTGGCGCGGCCGTGGCGGGGCCCTGTGGAAGTGGTCGAGGTCTTGCGACCACAGTGCGTGCGCATTCGTTGGGGGAAGCGGCGATGGTTCGTGCACCCCTCTCGGTTGAAACCTTTCGTCGCGGTACACAAACCCACTTCACACATGCGTGGCCAGACGTGTGGGGGGTCGACCGACTCGCTAGCTCCGTCTCCACCGCGCTCACCTAATGCCTTGCCGGCCGTGCCACCTCCAGGTGCATCGGGACTGACGAGCCCGCACCCACCTGCTGCTGCAAGGGACGCCGCGGTTCCCGCGACGTCAGACGCGGACTCTATACAAAACGAACAACCGCCACCGGCGGGTTCGCCACCCGGGATTGCCCCGTGTGACGGGCCTGCAGCAAGGACACGCGCAAAAATGCGCAGACTCTTATAGCGCATTGGACGAACATTTTTTTTCTTCTTCTCCCTTACGTACGGTTGCGTGGTGCTGCGTCGGTGGGGAGCTCCTAGCACATTTTTCTTTGTGTTGTGTTGCATGTGTGTTGCGAGTTCCCTGCTTAACCTGTATATATGCGTCACTCTTACGGTATTCGTATTTATTCAGGGGGGGTGCGTCGGATTGTTCCCTTCGGGGTTGTGGGTTTTGTTGTTGTCATTGTTGTTGTTGTTGTCGTTGTTGCTGTTGGTTCCTTCATGTTAGCGTTAAAAACGTTTTTTAAAGCACACGCGGGTATCCAGGGGTTAAACAGCCTTTATTAAAGTTGTTGCAGCCGGGACGGCTGCGAGCTGTACAGGGGGGGGTGATGTAGGGCTGTTACAGAGGGGCTGTTTGTGTAGGGCTGTTTGCATAGGGGCTAACGGATAACAAACACAGTGGGCGGGGACTCCGTGAGCACACGGGGTGGTGCCCGCAACGACGTCCGTACTGGACGGCGTGAGGGGGGTTTCGATCCTCTAGGGGGGTATAAAAAGGGTTGAGCCAGAGAGCTCGGGGCTCAGTCTTAGTGTAGTTAAGGGAAGAGAGAAGACCGGCCAGATAGGCCCTGGACTCCCCCTGGGACGCCGCCCTTGTAAGGGCAGTGCAGGCTGGAGCCAGTGGCGTGGTCCCGGAACCAGAGTCAGACCTCTGGGATTCCGGGTACCGTAGCCCGACTAACCAGTGTCGGGCCAGATAGCCTCCCCTAGCCCGTTAGCGGAGGACTCAGCTAGGAAGGCTAGCTAGGGGTGAATTCCCAGTTGTACGGGTGAGGGGGCCGATACATCCCTCCAGTATTGTAAAGACATTGTGCAAATAAATACGTGTGCCTTACCCCGTTGTCCACGCGTCTTCAAGAACACTTCACATACAACACAGATGAAATTACAGTCCTCTCTCTTGGTCCCACGGTGCAAACAAGCAATTAAAAAATTAATCACAATTAACAGACATAAATAAACAATAAACAATCGGCGATCAACACAAGATAAATAATCAAAAATGTAATAGACTTAAAATAAACAACAGTCAAGAATTTTTCAAATGCAAAATATTATTTAAATAAAGTATTTAAAGAAATAAGATATTTAAACCAGTGTGATAGTGCGATGTAGTGCAATGTGCAGTCCAGAGATCAGGATGTACGAGTGAATATGTGTTTGGGGGTTCGGGTCAGGGGGCAAAGGGGGGTGGATGGGCAGAGGGGGGGAGTGATGGTAGAGCAGGGAGGGAGTTGAGTCTCCTGACAGCCTGGTGAAAGAAACTGTCTTTGAGCCTGCTGGTCCTGGCTGGAAGACTCCGCAGTCTCCTCCCTGACGGCAGCAGGCTGAAGAGGCTGTGAGATGGGTGGGTGGGATCACCTGCAATCTTGATTGCTTTGCTGGTGATGCGGGTGTTATAAATGTCCAGAAGAGGCGGGAGAGAGACACCAATGATCCTCTCAGCTGCTCTCACTATGCGCTGTAGAGTCTTGCGGCAGGACACTGTGCAAGTGCCGTACCACACGGTGATGCAGCTCGTCAAGATGCTCTCAACGGTGCCTCTGTAGAAGGTGTGCATGATGGGGGGCGGGGCTCCTGCTCTTCTCAGTTTGCGGAGAAAATACAGGCGCTGTTGGGCTTTTTTGGCCAGTGATGCAGTGTTGTGACTCCACGACAGGTCTTCAGAGATGTGCACACCCAGGAACTTGGTGCATCTCACCCTCTCCACTGCAGCACCGTTGATGGTTAGCGGAGTATGCTGGGTGTGCACTCTCCTGAAGTCCACGACAATCTCCTTCGTCTTGTCTTTGCCCTGCGCTACAAACGGGCGGATGTGATGTCTCCAAGTGGCCTGTGTGTATGCATGTACTTAGAACTTCTTTCGCACCATACGCAGCCAACCGTGCTCGTCGGGGGGCTGGGCAGCCTTGGATCGCCAAGTGGCGGCGATGAGCCGCGGGAAGAGGCGATGGCTTCCGCCACAGCGATGCCCTTTATTTACCAGGGAAAGCCTGAGTTCTCAAGGCTGACCTTCGGGAGGTTACTGCATTGGGATGTTTGGCCAAGTGAATGAACGTAGACTCCGGCACTGGCTCTAACCGTGCGGGGAATGGTGATTGTAGGGATGTATGTTGAACGTCTTTCGACACCGTATGTGTGTACCCTGCGCTACAAATCCGGCGACCCGAGTTCACACCCCACCTCCCCAGGTCCACTCAGCCTTAAACATGAGTAACCTTGTGCGCTGTGTCAACATCACCACTAGGGAGAAAAAGACGGCCCGGGCGTGGTGCTGGCAATGCCACCCTGACACGTGACGTTTACCGGCCTTCGTGGGTGCTATCCGCTAACAGCGCTTGCCCTAACAGTCTGTTGAAGGGCATATACGGGTGCTCTTTATGCGTTATATATCGTGCGTACACGCGTTGTGTGTACGTGTGTATTGTATTGTCCATGCCCGTGTGCCGTTTGGTGCGTACACGTGCGTCACTCGTGCATGTGTGTCGTGTGTGACCCGTACACGCTTATCACGTGTGTCACGCGTGTGCCCGCGTGTGTGTGTGTGTGTAGTTGCGCACATGCCGCTCTGTGCATACACACGTGTCACGCATATGTGTGTGTGACGCGTACATGTGTGCCATGTGTGTGGCTGTGCCACGTGGGGCAGTGAGAAGGGCCGTGCCCCAGCGTGGTGCGACCGCGTGCTGTGGCGTGGTGACGGTGTGGTGCCGCGTGCCTACCGCAGCCACCCGTCCCTGCGCACGAGCGACCACAAACCCGTGAGCGCGGCGCTGGACGTGACGGTGAGCCAGCACGGACAACTCAACCCACCCACACACACCCATTAACCCAATCACCCACCCACACACACACACACCCATTAACCCAATCACCCACCCACTAACCCACCCACCCACCCACACACCCAGTAACCCACCCACCCACTAACCTACCCACACACACACACCAATTAACCCAATCACCCACCCACTAACCCACACACCCACCCACACACCCAGTAACCCACCCACCCACTAACCCACCCACCCACACACACACACCAATTAACCCAATCACCCACCCACTAACCCACCCACCCACACACACACCCATTAACCCAATCACGCTATGATTATGCTGACAACGATGATGCTGATGACGATTTTTATGGTGATTAAGATGATGATGATGCTGACTGATGCTGCTGAATAATGATAATGCTAATGATGCTGACAATGATACCGATGACGATGCTGCTGCTGCTGTGCTGCAGGTGAACGTAATAGACCAGCTGCGCTATGGGAGCGTGCACGACGAGGTCATCCGCCAGCTGGACCGCTTGGAGAATGAGTTTCTGCCCTCGGTGCTGCTCAGCTGCGTGGAGGTGAGAGCCGGCAGGCCACGGCCGTGGGCCGGCAACGCCACACACGGGACACCGCCACGGGCCTTTGACGGGTCGTCATCATCATCAGGTCATCATGGTTTCTAGGAGATGTTAACTACTTCTCCTGGTATGCAGGAGGTCGTGGGTTCGATCCCGACTCTGATGCCTGCTGTATATTTGGAGTTTGCGTGTCTCTCTTTCCCCCTGGTCACGTGGGTTTTTCTCCACTTCCTCCACATTTAGAATCAACATGATGCGTTTAGAGTATTTGGCTGCTGTACATTTCAACTTGATAGTGAGCCCCTTCGTTGAGCTCTAATTACTGGCCAGGTCGCTTCTGAACAAAGAGCTACATAGGTAAGTGGGCCTTGCCTGCCAATAAACAAATAATAACAATAATTTACATTTATTTGTAAAACCATGAGCCATGATCTATCCACTGCTGGATGAAGGGCTGCCTGAACCATCGCCATCTCTCATGTCACGAATCGTCCGTCGCCTGCGCGAGCGCAAGAGCCGATTCCACACACTGGCGACACGTCCGGGAAGAGTTGGGGCAGACCCACCACGCTTGACCCCGCCACGCTTGACCCCACCACGCTTGACCCCACCACGCTTGACCCCGCCACGCTTGACCCCGCCACGCTTTACCCCGCCACGCTTGACCCCACCACGCTTGACCCACCACGCTTGACCCCGCCACGCTTGACCCCGCCACGCTTTACCCCGCCACGCTTTACCCCGCCACGCTTTACCCCGCCACGCTTGACCCCGCCACGCTTTACCCCGCCACGCTTTACCCCGCCACGCTTTACCCCGCCACCCACGCTTGACCCCGCCACGCTTGACCCCGCCACGCTTGACCCCACCACGCTTGACCCCACCACGCTTGACCCCACCACGCACAACCTTCTAGTCGACTGGAGAGGGCTGGGAGCTCTAGGGAAAAAAATGCCCCGTTGCTTTGGCTGCCTCGCCGGGAGATTGACTCGAACGCGACAACCGCTGGATGGCGAGTGCCTTGCGCTGTGACCGTTCCACCGCTGCCGTGTCCCATGTAGTATGTGATGCGTATCGAACGCACGGGAAGACATTCCCTGATCTATTTCTTTTTTCTGTGTATTTTGACAGCTTTTTCTTGCTGTGGTGTCAAGAATAAATTAGCAGACGCGGTCTGCAGTAGTTTCACAGTAGGGGGGGGGGGGCGACGTTCCTGCGTTTAAACCCAATTGAGTAATTTGCGGGTCGATTTTCAAATTTGGCAAATTTGGATTCCGACGCCGGGCACGCGATGGCCGACTCACGGGGATCTCTGACGGCCACGTGAAGTGGAGCGGCGCGTGGTACTTGACAGTTTACATCACCCACACCTGTAACCAGGGTGGGCGGCCTGTCGGATTCGAACCGTGAACCTCGGCAAAGAGCGGCGAATGTTGGGGCCACCGCTGGAGTCCACCGCTGGGGGCCACCGCTGGGTCGTTTCACCGCCGGTTGTGCCGACTCCAGAGCGACCACACGCGGCCCATCGTGAAACCGCGCTCGCCCCCCGTGTGCAGATGCGGGCAGCCGGGCGTAGCGCCTCCGATTAACGCGGTCGGCTACGTACGGTGCGAAAGAAGTCCAACGTACTTTACATACAATCACCGCTCCCCATACGGTTACAGTCGGTGCTTGGCCAAACATCCCAATACAGTAACCCTCCCGAAGGCCAGCCTTGAGAACTCAGGCTTTCCTGGACGCATTAAGGACATCGCTGTTGTGCAAGCCATCGCCCCTTCTCGTGGCTCGTCGCCGCCACTTGGCAATCCCAGACGGATCGGCGCCTCCGACGAGCACGGTCGGCTGCATGCGGTGCGGAGGAAGTCCAACGGACGTACACTCAGGCGTACTGTACGTGCCGAGCGGACGCAACAGTGACGTCGCCGTGTGCAGTTCTCCTTCCCAGAGGTGAAGTTCCGGCAGCTCCGCACGGAGACGCTGCTGATCCGCAACGACGGACAAGTGCCGTGCACCTTCGAGTTCGTGCCCAAGCTCAACGACACGGACTACTGCAAGCCCTGGCTCAGCGTGAAGCCCAACAAGGGCTTCATCATGAAAGGTGGCCCCTCGTCTGCTACTCTACCACTCTGCCACTGTACATATCGCTGTGCTCCGCGTGGCGCTAAAGCCAATCCACTGCTGAACAAGGGCCTCCCCTCGCCGTGTGGACCGTGCGGGTTATTTGACCATAACCTGTGGGTTGGTGACCGCAGGAAGCATAGACACTGGAGTGTAGTACAGTGCAACAATGGATATTGCTGCACCGCCCTCTTCTGACAGAGTAGATCCACAACAGCCGAAAACACCCATTTTACACAACCCTACGTGTGCATGATGTATCCTAACTTGTTCTTACTTGTGCTGTCACTCACAACATCACTCACACCGCCACTCAATTCATCACTCACTCCATCACTCACTCCACCACTCACTCCATCATTCACTCCATCACTCACTCCACCACTCACTCCATCACTCACTCCATCACTTCATCACTCACTCCATCACTCACTCCACCACTCACTCCATCACTCACTCCACCACTCACTCCATCACTCACTCCACCACTCACTCCATCACTGATTCCACCACTCACTCCACCACCACTCCGTCACTCACTCCACCACTCACTCCATCACTCCATCACTCACTCCACCACTCACTCCATCACTCACTCCACCACTCACTCCGTCACTCACTCCATCACTCACTCCGTCACTCACTCCGTCACTCACTCCATCACTCACTCCATCACTCACTCCACCACTCACTCCATCACTCACTCCGTCACTCACTCCGTCACTCACTCCATCACTCACTCCATCACTCACTCCACCACTCACTCCACCACTCACTCCATCACTCACTCCACCACTCACTCCATCACTCACTCCATCACTCCATCACTCCATCACTCACTCCATCACTCACTCCATCACTCACTCCATCACTCACTTCATCACTCCATCACTCACTCCATCACTCACACCATCACTCACTCCATCACTCACTCCACCACTCACTCCATCACTCACTCCATCACTCACTCCATCACTCACTCCATCACTCACTCCACCACTCACTCCACCACTCACTCCACCACTCACTCCACCACTCACTCCACCACTCACTCCACCACTCACTCCATCACTCACTCCATCACTCACTCCACCACTCACTCCATCACTCACTTCACCACTCACTTCATGGCGCACGCCGCCACCGCCCACGCCGTTGTTTCCCGGCACGCAGGGGAGCAGGTGGCGGTGGCCATCGAGGTCTACGTGAACCAGGAGATGGCGTCGCTGCTGGGCGGCGGGCAGGGCCGCAGCCTGGAAGACATCCTGGTGTTGCACCTGCAGGACGGCCGCGACCACTTCCTCATCATCACCGGCTCCTACACCGAGAGCTGCTTCGGCGCCTCGCTCTCGGCTCTGTGCCGCACTACGCAGCCCCTCGCCCTGGTCAGTATGTATGTTGTGTGTGTGTTGTATGTGTATGTGTTGAACTTCTTTCGCACCATACGCAGCCAGCCATACCAATCGGAGGTGTGCGGGGAAGGACAACAAACTAAACAAAAAATGCAATTTTTAAGAAATTTGTTTATTAATCTAGATGATGATTTAAAAGAGCATAGCTCTAATCTTGGAAGAAAGAGCATTCCTGACGATTGCAGAAGCGCATCTGAAAGCCCGCGATAAGGTGACCGTCTTTATCCGATGGCTGGCCAAAACGCCGCTGCTGCTGAGAGGATGACCTGAGTTCGCTTGATGGTTCATGCTTCTTGATGATATTGGCAAGGTATTGTGGTTCATTTGCGGGAAGCACTTTGTGTGTAATGAGTGCGACCTACTTAATGTATTTGTTTGGCAACCGGAAGCCAATGCAGCTCAGCGAGCAGGGACGGACGTGGACGAATCTTGGAGTGGACCCGTTTCGACATGTGCCAAAGAATATTGTACACGCTGCAGCTTACAAATGTTTTTGCCAGACGTCCCGTAGAGTAGTGAGTTGCAATAATCGAGCCTTGTCGATGCGCCGCTACACGCCACCGTGTCGGTTGTGTCACTACTCAATAGTGGCCGAATGTGTCGTAGAGCCCTGATATGGAAATTGCTCGACCTGACTGTATTTCGCACGTGGTTATCAAACAACATATTCTGGTCGAGTGTGGTGCCGAGAGTCTTTATGTGAGTAGAAAGCTGAATCCTGGAGTCTGCGACCACCACACCTGATCCTCCCGCGGCCCGGCACGACGCTGTGAGAGAGAGGAGTCGGTGGTTGCCCGGCACGGCTCTGTAAGGGAACCTGGTACTGAACGTACAATGGAGATAATCGATGGTTCGTTGTCAATACAGGAAAGACTCGACAAGTCTCAAGCTGTTTTCTCAGGGAGGTCCTGCATTGGGAGTGGTTTGTGTATGAGAGGAGTTACAAGAGCAAACCCTCGTACTGAAAGGGGGATGGCAATCCGCGATCGACACACGTTGGACCTGAACCCACTTGCATGCTGCCATCTCGCGAACACCACGTGCCGGCTGTGGTGAGGGGCGGCACACTAAGCGGTCGTCTCCGCGTGCTTCCACTCATCCGGCACGGCGAGCGTTCGCAGCCTCTCGCCGTGCCGGGTAACCCCAGCTCGTGTTTATCACCGTGCGGTCGTGCGCAGATATTTGTTGCGACGAGGAATTTTTCCCCAAACTTGGTCCAGATTTGCGCGCCGGTTGTGCTGTCGGCATCACTTCGCGCGATGATGGATCCATCTGGAGCCCTCCCAGAGCAGCGCAACCATTTGCAATGAGAGAACGGACCGCGGAAGCGGATGCCTCAGATCTACTCTAGAGAGATCCACTTTTCTTTCAAGTGACCTTTGCTCCACGCGGGGGGGGGGGGGGCGCTCCTTCCCACCGTGCTGCGCAGGGTCCTGCTCATCGCATCGCAGCCGCACCAGTGTTGTTAATTATCGCAGCTGGAATTATGGGGGTGTTCTTTTCATTCAGCGAGCAGGAAGCGGGCCGAGTCCATCAACTCGCTACACGGGAGAGCGCAGTTTTCTCATCACAGGCAGTGGCTGAAACCCAGATTGGAACCCAGGGTCCCGGCGTTGCTGCCCGAGCCCTCTGACCTCCGAGCCAAACGATCACCGATTTTTCTGTCGCTGACTTGGCGGGAATGAGCGCCGTTCCACTCTCCTCCTCCTCCTCTCCCCCTCCCCTCCCCCTCCCCCCCCACCCTCCTGCGTGCGCGTGACACAGGTGAACACGCACGACGTGGGGGAGCAGAGCAGTGCACAGGACATTCCCAAGGAGATGTGGATCCTCGTGAACCACCTGTACCGCAATGCGCTCACGCAGGTACGGACAGGCGGCGGCATGCGGGTGAGCGAGCGAGCCGCTGGGGAGAGCGTCTGCTGACGATGTCGCAGTCTGCTGACGTGGGGCCCTTTCGTCCAATCCACTGCTGGATGAGGGCCTTTCCACGCCGGTTTGTGTGCAGTGCGGTGGTCGCCCGTCCTAGCACCGTCCCAGGCTCTCTACCCTGCTTGGTCGTGAAAAATAATGTGGGCGCATTTCCGTGGCGATTTCGTCAAAGGCTGCTTCCTACGTGTTAATCATTGCAAGCAGTAAAAAAAATTGGTATTGCTAGGCCAGGTGGTGACACGTGTCCTCCGGTTGGTTGGCAGGCCAACCAAAGGGAACATTCGACGTTTGCCCGGCCACAAGCCGCCTCCGTGAGCAACGCCTGGAGCACTCAATGAGCGCGTGAGCCCACGAACGAAGGCGCCGCACTTTGCACAGCGTGCCTACGGTGGAAAAAAGTAACCCGTTGCATATGGCACGATAAATGTGAGACAGATGTTTTGCACTGTCCAAGCTCCACCACTCATTGCCTCACCAATGAAGATGGAATTTCATGAATGATTCGCCTCGGCAAGCTCCATCTAGGGACGCCTGACTGCCTGTTGATATTTCAGTGTCCTCCTACCCACCGACTCCCCCGCAGTCTTCAGAACGGGTTCTGTGTGTTCGTGCATCGCTTCGTCAACAACACTGACGTGTGTTTGTATCAGTGTGCAATTGTGTTTATTGATATTACTTGAGTGTGTGGGGGGAACGGTAGTGCAATGGTTAGTGCGCTGCGCTATAAATCTGGTGACCCGAGTTTGATTCCCGCTCACAGCCAACACCAGTGACGATTACCAGAATTGGTCCTGGTGCCTCCCATAGGTCGCCTTAGGCTCAAATGAGTACCTGGTGCGCTGTGTAAACGTCGCCACTGGGGAGACAAAGGTGTCCGGGCGTGGTGCTGGCCACACACACCCTCGTGTGCCGTGCCGGGCTTCATAGGTGCTCGCTCACAGCCCTTGCCCCAACAGTCTGTTCAGGCTGTACGGGGGATCTTTGTCTTTTGTGCAGTGCACCTAGCATGGCATGGGGGGTAGGGTGGGGGTGGCGTTGAGGGGTCCAACTGTGGCAGGCAAGGTGAAGGCCTCAGTGTTCTCGCGAGCGAGCGATGCTGCTGCCGCTGCCGCTGTGGTGAGACGTGGTGACGTTCTGCTCTGCCCTCCCTGGTGGGGCACTGGACAGGGTGGGGAAGCTTTGGCTCGGAATCGGGGAGAGAGAGGACGCAGCGGAAAGCGAAGCCGGATTGAAGTTAAACATCAAAGTGATTTTCTGCTCAATTGAGCATTACGGCAGTGTTTAGCATCGCCTAAATGCTATACAAGAGGACAACCACTGTTGAGTTCCCCACAAAGTGATGAACATTTATCCACCACAGAGGGATGATGGGCTGGGTTTCTGAAATATAGTGCTGGACAAACGAATGTGCTTATGACCTCGCAGGGAGTGAACTCGCATCGTTCCGATTGGCAGCCGCTTGCTCTCCTACACTGAGCCTCCTGGCTGCTAGGTGGCTCGCCAAATTGTCTGTGATCCGATGTTACGATTGTCCCATGCAGGCAGAGCAGAACGTACCCATGTCCGTAAGGGAAAATAATCAACAATATTGGTTGAGTTTCTTCTATTCTCCGCAACGACGCCAATGACTTGGCTGCTATATAAGTTTCCACACGATCAGCCACCCACTTCGTGGCGCCTGAGGTTGGGATAGCCAGGTCGCTTCTGAAAAAGAGCTACACAGCTGTATCTGGTTAAAAAAATACATTTTAGTAGCTTATTTCATATATTTTCCCTACCTCAGCAGCTCTCGCCTGATGACGATTGCTTGTGTTGCGACCAAAACGTCGTGTTATTGTTATTATTTTATTATATTTTTTCTATCTACGTGGCTTTACTGAAAGACCCAAATAATAGTTTAGTTCAATGACTGATAATTTTTGGCGTAAATCCCCTCTCCCGTGGTCCAACCCAAGAACACATCTGGATCAGCCGACGATGCATCCTAAGTTGGTGACGACCTCAAAGCTTGCCGCGGGTTTGCACGCTGTGTTTAGGGCCATCTGGGGCACGTTTGGGGCCGTTGCTAGCCGCTGTTGTTGTTGGGCACACACCCAATGCCTCGGCTACATTGCTGCCCATATATCGAGCTGCCGCTGCGGTTCTGTAGTTAACGTGGCCACTCGCGTTTTCTCCAGACTTGAGCTGCGTTCTGCGTTGGGGCTTGGTGGGCGTTGTTATGTCTGCTCTGTGTGAGGCCGTGAAGTTAATCTGTTACTCCTGTCTTTTTAGACTCACGCAGAGACCCACAAACTTAACTTTGAGACTCGTAGACCTCCACAGAGGGACAATTACAAAGACCCATAACCCGTGTTGAGACCCATAGACTTACATAGAGATAGCTAAAATCACAAATATCTACAGAATTACATAGAGATCTGTAAAATTAGAAACCCATAGACTTACGTAAAGATCTGTAGAATTACGGAGACCCATCGACTTACGTAGAGATCTATCAAATTACAGAGACCCATAGACTTACGTAAAGATCTGTAGAATTACAGAGACCCATAGACTTACATAGATATCTATTAAATTACAGAGACCCATAGACTTACATTGAGATCTGTTGAATTACAGAGACCCAAACACTTACATAGAGATCCGAACAATCGCAGAGAATCATAGACTTATATAGAGATCTGTAGAATCACAGAGATCCACATACTTACCTAGAGATACAAACAATTGCACAGACCCATAGACTTACAAATGTAATAAAAAAATGTATTTCTCATCAGGCCCCATGGTGTATAGTGCAGTCACCACGCTTGTCCACTCCGTCTCTCTGTGTATCTGCAATGAAGAAGGCCCATTGCCTGTTAGTATACGGATTTAAGGGCGGTGATATTGAAGAATGTGTTGAGTTTTCTGGTTTTTTGACTTGCATAGAGACCCATAGACTTACAGAGACCCATAGACTTACAGAGACCCATAGACCTACATAGCGACCCATAGACTTACACAGAGACCCATAGACTCACACATAGACATGCAGACTCGCATATAGTGACACATGGTCCTGGGACACAGCAGTTAACGCATTCTACGACGGAGGAGACGTGACGTGTGGTGGCAGTCAAGTTGAATGGCTGAGCCTTAGGAGTGAACTGTGACTGCTTTTGGGGATCTGGCAAACCACCCTACTGGGGAAATTCCACCTCTTTCAAGGATGTCAGAATCAGAATCTGTATTTTTCCTTCAAAAATTCGAAGAGCTATGAAGCTCTTTTTCACAGATGTCCAGGAGGTGGCGGGTCAGTACACGCATGCAGAGTTGGGTTTGGCAACTCCTCACCAAGTGGTGCTCATTTTTTATTTGGCCCAGGAGGGAGGATGGGCTGAGTTGACCACTAACCAGGATGTGAACTGACAGGAGTTTGATTGTCGCACGCTGAGACCACAGTGCCAATCCTGGTGGTGTTATGCCATATCTAACAACAACAACAGTCTTTGTCAATCCGCTGCTGGATGAAGGACTTCAAATGCAGTTGTTAGGCTGCACTTCACTGAATCCTGGTGAGTGCGGGTTGGTGACGGAGGAGACGAGCCTGACTCCGACAGCGCTCGGCGGCGGTGTGAGCCACGGCCCAGATTGTGAGGGCATTGCACCAGCCACCGCACCGCTGCTCCGTCCCCTGTCTGTACGGCGAACCGTTACTGCTTGACGCAGATCGGCGTTCACTGTGCGAGGCTGCCAGAATGGTTTCCCCCCGTAAAACGGCTCGTGCGGAATATTTATCTGCAGTCCCCTGAACGGTTCATAATGTTCCGGCTTGTTTCTATGAAGTAGGTGCTTGCACCACGCGCTACTCTCGGGGGGATGTTTAAGCCTATTTTTGCGAGGAATACTCTTCACCGTTTATGTGCAAGAGCAGCCAAGTTAGAAATGGGGGGGTCAGCCAGGTTAAGTAAACGAAAAGCTGTGTAAAAAGATTGAAAGGGAAAGTGGCTCCGTAAAACAGTCGCTCAAGTGAGAGGTGGCTGAGTCAGCACTGCTTACTTCCCGGGTTCCAACCCAGGCCTGTGATGAAACTCAACTCAACGATTTGTTTTATGTTACCAGGTAATGCGCCACTGACCTATGCAGCTACTTTTCAGACGTGACCTGGTCATCACAAATGACAGCTCAACCAAGTGGCTTAGCACCTCTTAAATGCACGTCGATAATTATAAATGTGGAGGGAACAACCGGAGGACCTGGAGAAAAATCCACGCGACCACGGGGAGAACATGCAAAGTCCAAAATATACAGCTGTCAGGGTTGGGATCGACCTCCTCTGAATCAGACGAGGACGTTAACATCTCGTTAAACTGGGTTGCTCTAGTCGAGTGAGTTTGATGGCCTCAATCCAGTCACCAGTGACTGCACGCACGCAAAAGATAAAAGTCACCTTAAATTTGGTTCTGCGATTAATTTGTAAAAAATTCCAGCCCTGAGAATTAAAACATCGGCGTGACTGTCACGCGACGCACATTGCTCTCAGATGGCAGGGCGGCTGAGAAAGTTCTAACGCCCCTACCATGTGGACAAGAGGTCGCGAGGTCACTTGAAGACGCTCTACATCTTACCGATAGCTCAGTGTTCACGTGCAGTTGGATCGAGGGGACTGTGTGTGTGCTGTAGTGGTGTGATCTGGGGCTGTTCTTTCTGTTGTTCTGCTGTCTTGCCCAAGCTTGGGAATTGGTGTACTTAAACAGTTTCAGCTTATATACTTGATCTATTTAACGTATTTATTTTTAGTGATTAGCTTACCTTTCCTATGGTTTTAACTTTCAAAGCTGCCCCCCCTACTCGGAGGACGTCTGTGAAATAGAGCTTCGTAGCTCATCGGAATTCCTCCAGGATGAATAAAGATGGTGACTTCCGACCATCGGAGGTCGATATATATCCGTGTTGGCGGGCCGTTGTCTAACACGGCAGGTCGCGCCGCTCTCTGCGAGCGATCCAAATGGGCACTTGGTGGTGCGACGCCGACAGCGCGGTCGGCGTACGATTCGGGGGAAAACATTCCAGCGCCGAGAAACCCAAAACTAGCGCCGAATCTATAAAAAGACCCCAGTTATTTAAAACGAGAAACCCTATAAATATATAGAACTTGTGAAAGTAGACCAAGTGAGTTTTTCGGTATCGGCGTCCACGGTACTTTCCGGGACAGAGCCAGGTTTGGTCCAGCAGAGTGCCCTGTTTCTGGGGCCACGCCTGACCCCCAGAGGCTCGTGGGCCACGCGTGACCCGTGGAGCCTCACGGGCCACGCGTGACCCCCCGCGGAGGCTCGTGGGCCCACCCGCCAAACTGCGGCCCGTCAAGAGCGATGGCTTGCGGAACCATCGAGAAATATATGCGAGAGAGATGAGGAATAGATGAACCATCGACTAGCAATGAGAGGCCTGGTGGAGATGAGGTGTGCACGTACGCGTGGCGGCCACACAATGCGGGGATGTCGCACCGTACCACCGCATTCGCAGGCTGGGGGAGGGGTTTAACACGTCGACTTTCACGACCAATAGCATCCATAATAGAGGTTTTGGGGGAGTTAGATCGCGTAAATATATATTTAAATGTGTCGTTAAAACCCGCCACCACCCGACACAGCCAACTAGTAAGGGTTGTCACGTAAACAAAACGTGGCCAATTCGTCACTAGTACAGCACACCGGTGTGTTGGAGAGCCAAGCCACAACATTTACAATCTGAGTACGACGTTTCGCCTGTAATTACAACTAGCTTCATTAGGCGACAGCCAGATTTGTGGAGAAGTCCACCTGTTTTGTTCCTTATATAGAGGCGTAGATGTGTTGACCACACTTCTGCGCTCTTGCACAATGTGGGGGGGGGGGGGGGGGATTGCTGAGGCAACGTACATTATGCATGTGCATTATGCGAGCCCTTTGAACTTGTCATTCCTGTCTATTGTGTCTAAAGAACACTTACTTCTTTTGGCAAGATGACTTCTATAAACAAAAGGAAGGAGCAGCAATGGGTTCTCCTTTGTCTCCTGTGATAGCGAATTTGTACATGGAAGATTTTGAAACAAAAGCAATAGCTTCAAGCACACTAAAACCCTCTGCTTGGTTTAGATATGTGGATGACACATTGGTGGTCTGGCCACACGGCAAAGATACACTGAACGCAATTCTAAATCATCTCAACTCGCAAAACCCATCCATCCAGTTCACCATGGAAGGAGAAGCTTGAAGAACTCTACAATTTCTGGATATTCTGCTCAGACGAGGTAGAAATGATAAAATAACACAGTGTTTACCGACAGAAAACGCATATTGACGCCTATCTGAATGCAGAATCACACCATCACCCCGCACAGAAATTTGCTCTTATCAAGACGCTCATTCATTGAGCTAAGAAAGTGTCAGATGGTGAAAGTCTGAGAAGTGAAATTGAACATGTTAAAGAAGCTACATCATGGGGCCTCCTTTGCCAGTACCAAAATATGAGAATAGGTTTTCCCCTTTTTTCTGGCAACAAAACAGCTGTGTTAAGATGTTAAAACACCAAACTGAAACCTTTTACAAGGAATCATGTCTGCATTAACCACAATGCTTGTGGTCAAAATGCAAAAAAAATAACGTACTCTGAATATATATGCATTGTCTTTGAAACTGATTGGTCCACACCATTGCATTCTGACCACACGTATTGTGGTTAATGCAGACATGGTTCCTTGTGAAAGGTTTCAGTTTGGTGTTGGGAGTGGTCTCCACTGTGGCCATGGCAGCAGAGAAGAGCCAGTGCCGTTCCTCCATGGGGCCTTGAGTCGGCTTCTCGTTCTGAGCTCCACTGCTCCCCCTCGACACCTTGTGCCGTTGGGTGTCGCCAGGGCTCCGTTTCGGCCGATGGAGGAGGCGAGCTCACGTGGTTCCACAATGGACGTCTTGAATTCAGACGGGAGGGCGGTTGGTGGCGATGGTGGGGATTTGTTGGCGATATACTGAGCCGGTGGGGGGGGGGGGGGGGCAGGGACAGAGATTAGGATTTTGCCGAGATCAACTCCGCGTGGTGTTTCCCCAGGAGGATCTGTTCCAGCAGCCGGGCCTCACCGCCGAAATGGAGGAGATCCGAGATTGCCTCGACACCGACATCCCCGACACACTCCGTATCCTTTCCGCCGATCGCGCTTCGGTGTAAACACACGCGCACACGCGCACACACGCGCACGTACGCACACACGCGCACGCTCGCTCGCGTGGTCGTGCACACACGACCTGTCACAGGTACGGTCAGACAAACCGACGTAGCATTGGGGAGAGGGCCTCACCCAGCAGTGGATTGACCGAGGGCTGTAACTGGCGTGCACAAGAGGAGAAATCCATCCGCAGAATTGATCCGAGCTGGACGTGGAAGCGAGGGACGCGAGAGTCGATTCTCGAACCCGACCGCGCTCTGAATCGTCGTGACCACTCGTAGAATCGCCGCTCAGGGGTGACTGGTGGCGCCTCGACCCAGAGGGCTTTGGCTTCACGGCTCGTGCGGCGTTTGTGAACTGCTCGGCTTTAAGGTGGCCAGGAGATGGTGGCATAGCAATTATAGGCTGCTGAACGTGTCCGTGCAACAGACTTGTTGGGTGTTCTCCGCAAATGTCGCTCATTGGAAAAGTTTGTGGTTTTAACCTGGCAGGCCGCGCTATTTAATACTGCGGGTGTATCTACCTTGAAATACCACATTAGATGTTAAAGATCCCGTAATGTCACTCAAAAAATAGTAGTGCCATTATGAATAGTTTGCCCGCAAATGATTCACTTGGCATCACGCACGGCAACATCACCCGCTACTGTGAAACTACTGCACACTGTCTACAGAACACATCAGCGCCTTCCTTCGAGATTGCCTGAAGTGATTAGAATAGCGCAAATACACCAAGTGTACTAAGTATAATGGTTCGTATTATCTGCGTAGTTTGGTTTTTGTAGCACGATCAAAGCATTCACAAATGGAATTGGCCAAATATCGCAATGCAGGGCCCTGCTATAAAAACCTCTCGGGACTCGGCGAGGCCTCCCCGTGTACACGTGCAGTGGCTAGGCGATGTCAACTACCTCCTCGCCTGGTCTACAGGAGGATCGTGGGTTCGATCTCGACCCTGACGATGCCTGCTGTATATTTGGAGTTTGCGTGTCTCTCTCCTCGTGGTCGCGTGGATTTTTCTCCGGGTCTTCCGGTTTTTCCCTCCACATTTAGAAACAACATCACGTGCTTGGAGTATTTGGCTGCTATAGATTTGCACGTGGTGATAAGCCACTTGGTTGGACTATCATTTGTAGCCAGATTGCTCCTGAAAACGAGCTATACAGCTCAGTGAGCCTTACCTGGTAAAATAAAAATAGTTTATCGTTTTACATGCAGGGAGAAACCTCCTCTTGTACGTGCGTGGGTCGTGTAAGTGGGGAGTCCTCGCCGTGCACGTGCGTGGGTGGTGTGCACGGGGCGCTACCGGCGTGGTGCTGGGAGCGTGAGAGCCTTTGCGTGGCTGTTTCCTGAGCCCCGAGCAGCTGGGAGCAACCACTCGGTGGCCGAGTCGCTGCTCATGTTCCTGGAGGCGCTGGCCGAGCCCGTGGTGAGCTGCGAGCTCTACGCGCAGTGCCTCGCCAAGGCGAGCAGCGCCTCGCAGAGCAGCCAGGTGGGGTTACACCGCGGCGCGGCACACACGGCACCTCAGGACGCCGCACCATACACCGGCACACCACAGCACACTGCAGTACACCGCACCGCAGTGCACCGCACCGCAGTACACCGCATCGGACCGCAGTACACCGCTACACACGGCTCCACACCGTGCCGCACTGCACCGCACCGCACCACTGTCTGCCACACTGCAGCATAAACTCTCGCTGTCCGTCAGCTCATAATGCAGCAGCTGCCTGAAATTCCACTTTTTGTGCAAATTTCGACCCCCAAAACGACAAACTGCCAGCATCAAACAGCGCCATCAAAGTTCTTTGGTTCTTTTCGGTTAAGTCACGTCTAAAAGTCACGTCTTTTAGACGTGACTTAACCGAAAAGAACCAAAGAATAATTCCTGCAGTCACGAAAGCTCCTAAATTAAGATTGCCATCAAAGTTGTAATGAATACAAGTTTAATGAGTAACTTGTCTTGAGCAAGCTTGGGAAAAGGGACGATGGGAGGGAATTCCGAAGTAGAGCAGTGCGAGGAAATAAGCCCAGAGACATGTGGTGACCAGTAGTGTGGTGAGTGGGCGAGAGGGCGAGCGATCAGGCGAAAGGTCGAGAGGGTGAGCAGGCGAAAGGTCGAGAGGGTGAGTAAGTTGTTGTGACAGATGGTTGAACGCAGTGAGGCTGAGACGAAGTAGTCGGTGTTTGGCAGTCCGAGTCCTCAATATGGGCGGAGTGGAAGAATCGGCGAGTGAAGTTCCAGGGATGAGTAACCGTGGTAGTAGCAGCAAGAGAAGAGCGATCGCGAGGTGACTGATCGCTGGTGAGTGACCGAGTGCCACATCTGCACGATGGAGCCACGAGAATCCCGCATCATTTAGCGGGATGTGTAACCCCTCCTCCCCAGTCATTGTCGTCGTCGGTGCACGGCGCACTGTGCGGTCATTGTTGTGGACGTGGCATCGAGCGTTGTTCCTCCTCCCCCCCCCAACCCCCCCCTTCCTTCTCCTCCCCCCGCCCTGCCGCCTCGTCAACACCAGGTGATTCAGCAGCTGCCCCGCTGCCACCTGAACACGTTCCGCTATCTCATGGCGTTCCTCAGAGAGCTGCTCAAGCACTCGGAGGACAACGGGGTCGACCTAAAGTTGCTCGGTAAGACGTCTATTTGCGTTTTGTTTGTCATCCCATGGGGGGGGGGGGGGGCGGCAGGGTGTTGGCGTAAGCGGCGACGCTCGTTGCCTCGCAGCAAAGAAGGGGGCCTGGGTTGGATTCCCGACTGTGGCGCTTGTCCGTGTGGGGTGTAGCGGTGTTCCCCAGCCCGTTGTTCTGCGTTCCGGGTTTCCTCCGGATTCTTCGGTTTCGTCCTCAAAAAATAAATAAAAGCCCCGACAATGTAACCGGTCAGTTCACAATTCTCGTAAATCGCCTGATGATGCTGGATGTAGTCGCCAGTGAGAAACGTGGGTTTACTCTCCAACACACCCGTGGGGCTGCAGTAGTAACTCATTTGCAAGTTTTGTTTCCGTGACAAACCTTACTCATTAGCTGTGTCAGATGGTGGCGGGTTAACAACACATTTATACCAACGCGATCTCACCCCAAAAATGTTTAACCTTTATTATGAATGTAACCGGTGTTGGCCGAACATTCCAAATGCTCAGAAATCACCCGAAAATTACTCAACTGGGCTCAAAAAGAGCAGCAGCAGCAACAACATTGCCCCCTGCTAAGAAAACTCGGCTAGGCCCTCCTGGAAAAGTCACGATCATTCCCATGAACATCATCTCCTCATTATTATCATCATCGTCATCATCATCTTTACCACCATCATCCCCATGAACATCATCACCATGAACATCATCTCCCATCATCATCATCATCTTCGATCACGCTTGTAATGACGATCCACGACGAACAGAAACCCGAGTGCGAAGTTGAGTTGCATCTTCGCGACGCACTCGGGAGACAGCCGGCCACGCGGATCCAAGGGTTTCCCAAAACTTGGGAGAGACACAAACCGGAGAAAAAAGTGGAAGTTTTGGATATTCGGCTCCCCCGTCGGCTTAACATGCGGCTTAGTTCGACAACGTCCAACGCATGTTGGGAATCGCCCCATGCACCCCGTGCGCCCGTTCCTTCCAGCCGTTTTTAACGAACCGTCACACGCCCCTTCCTCGTTTGCCGCCCCCTTTGCCACCGCCCCCCCTCGTCTCCCCCAACCCCTCCCCCCCCTCCCAGCGACGGTGTTCGGGGGCCTGCTGCTCAGGCCGCCGGGCAAGCGGCGGGTGCTGAATTCCCAGGAGAAAGAGAAAGCCGCCGACTTCATCTTCAACTTCCTGGTGGAGGCAGCCTCGGCCGACTGAGTCCCGGCTGGCAGCAGCTCGTTCGGGGGGGTGTCTCTCCGTAAGAACATCGACGGGACCAGGGCTATCAACTCTTTTTTGCCCGGAGGCCTCGCCCCCCCCACCCCCCCCATCCCCCCCGCCCCCCTCGGTGGGGCCCACTGGCCCCGACGCAAAATTTCGCCCCTCTTCGTCTGGCGCCTGGGCCTCTGCGCCCCCATAGGCCCCTGGCGCAGTCGCAACCGCCTGCGTCGCCTGATAACTAACGCCGCTTAAGCTTCCGAGACGCGTGCACGTGCGCGCGAGGAGAGAGAGAGAGAGACGCCGGGACCCGTTGGGTCTCCCAACCCTCTGGTGTCGACGCGGCAAGCAATCCGCCGCCGCATTGTGAAGACATCCCGCTCGGGCTGTGCCTGCTGCAATGGGCAGGTGCGGTTGCTCGCTCGGTGAAGCTGGTCCCAAATCGACACCCGCTGACTTAACCGCTCGAGGTGACATTTTTTTTTTCAAACAATCGTTTAAATACAATCGAACGATCGCCGTTTTGATGTTGATGTCGAGCGGCGGGCGGCGCTCCGGACGACGGTGCGAGAGTTCGATTCCCGGTCGTGGCTAACATCGGTGGCGACATCCAAACCAGTCCTTCTAAACCCGTTCTGAGATCCGTTTATTAATCGTGTTAAGGCCATCCGTGTGGATTCCACACGCATATATATATACGTATAACATGTCACTGCACTGTTTGTAAATAATTCACATTTTTATTTTGCGTGTATTGTAATATCAATCTTATCAATAATCAAATCTGTTAAGTGATCAACGAGCGGGGTATCCATACGTGAGCCGCTATGAGGATGAAACTGGCGCACTGTCGTCCATCGCTGCATCACGGCCACTGCTGCCAGCCGCTCGCATCTCACCTCGGACAAGAGTGGGGGGGGGGGGGGGGAGCACCACGACGCAGTCCTTCGGGAGCTGCGGCGTCGGTTTTTTTCTTGTTGCTTGTGCACAAACGGCGGCGGGCACGCTTTTTCACAATCATCTCCGTGTTGTCTGTCGTTCGCTTGACGCTGCTCTGAGCCCCCTGTTGTGCGGTGCTTGCATTGGGTTTGAACACCTCCTGGCATTGTGTTTGTGTGTGTGTGTCTGTACACATCCTGGCATTGTGTTTGTGTGTGTCTGTACACCTCCTGGTGTGTGTGTGTACACCTTTTGGTGTGTGTGTGTGTGTCTGTCCACATCCTGGCGTTTGTGTGTCTGTACACTTCCTGGCGTGTGTGTACACCTCCTGGCGCGTGTGTGCACACGTGCTGATGTGTGTGTGGGTCTGTACACGCTACGCATAGTTCCACGTACACACACAACAGAGTTAAGTCGTACACGAGTTGGATTAGCAGTTCAAATAATACCATTATTTATTTTTTTGCGGCAGCTTTCGCACAAACAGAATGTCCCACAAAAAAGCGCGCTGCTGTACAATCCGAGATGACGTGAGATTACAAACGAGGAACGATGACTACTGAAAGAAATAAACACGATCGCTTAAAGGTGAAATAAATTATTTGGTGCTGTTGGTGCGTTGTAGCGGTGCGCAAGGACAACTTAACAAGAAACTCGACACACTCGTCAATAACGCCGTCTTAGAAGAAACACGCATATAATGGGCGACGTTTCAGGCAATGACCCTTCTTCATGGCACTACACGGGTATAAGAAATAAAAATACATGAGCGACGTTTCTTCATGGGACATACACGGGTGTATGTGCCATGAAGAAGGGTCATTGCCCGAAACGTCGCCCATTACATTATTCTTAAGACAGTGTTAAGTGATGAGTGCGTTGAATCATTCAAAGAGGCCAGGGAATAAGATTTGAGTTTTAAGATAAGATTTTAAGATACCAGTGACGTTAGCGGTGGAGATTCCACATTCCCATGGTGGGGGCCAGTCCAGCGGGCAGCCGCTACTCACGTCCCACAAACTAGTACTCAGTTTATTAACCGTGACGATGACGATGTTGAACTGGTCGAGAATAACGACAGTGGCAGCCAAGGGCGAGGGAACGCCCCCTTGAGAGCACCTCGGCCACGGAGATGGAGTGATAAGTTCAACTCGTGGATGGCCGCCGAGTGTATTTGTTGCTTCGTGGGACTGCGAGAGATGGTGACAACTCGGGGGAGGCCTCCATTCAACAGTAGATCGGTCATGGCCGATGATGATGGGACCCACTCCCAGGGCGATTTGAACTCGTTGACCTCCAAGTTTGCGGGTTGCGTGCTCGGGGCACAGCTGTGCGCATCCAAAGGTCAGAGTCGGAATGCGGAATGGACGTTGCCTTGTGCTTATTTTACCCCCAAAAATATGCCACTGGTCGGGGCTGTTTCATTTATTTTTTTTGCAAACGTAATCTTGACGCTAAATGTCACCCCAATTACAACCTGCAGCACCACTGCTCGACATGAGCGATGATTCACGCGTGACTCAACTTTCGCCAGCAGCTCGAAGCCGGCCAACCTCGCTGCCCGGGGGGGTCGAGGCGCTTGTGAGGGCCGATTGGAACGGTCCGCCAGAGGTGGACGCGGCAGGAGCGCTTCTGCCACAAAGGGTCAAATGTGCAGCTCGCTTAGTATTGTTGTTTTAGTAGCGATCGGTGCACTTTTATAGGTATGAGTCTAGCAATGTACGATTTTTTATAGTTTGAAAAAAAATAGTTTTTACTGAGAAATAGTCTAAAACAATCCATGATAATTTGGATAAATTATTGATTTAAAAAAAACCCAGAGTTCTGGAGAGAACCCAAACTCAGCCACACTCACCCCGCTCACTCCGCTCCCTCCGCTCACTCCACTCCACGTCGCTCCCAGTGCATTGCATGCGTCTCGTGGCGACGTTGAGCGACGACCTCCGTGTGGCTTGAGGAACAAGACAGAGTTCTTCTGGGCGAGGAGTCGAGCCTTAGGAAGACGACGATGACGCCGATGACAAAGGATGATGATGACGATGTTGCTGAGGATGGTTACTGGCCAAGTGGAGAAATAACGCAGCGTCATCGCGGCCGCTAATCCGCTGGTCGTGTTGCGACACCGACTTTGTCCGCGAGCCCTCGAATGCGCCGTCTGCTGCGCTCACACTCGGGACGAGACGTTGGGACCGAGCCCTGCAATGTGCAGTGACTGCGCGCACGTTCGTCACACGGGATGACGCATTCACTTGCGGATACCCCGGTCGTTTATCATCGGATTCTTCACTCCCAACAAGCGATTGAATCTCAGGAAAATGGTGGGGCCCCTCTTATTTCACAGAAGTGGGGAAAAAACATGTATTTAGCCTGTGGAGATTGATGTGCAGTTGCCACCTGTTCAGGTTTGAGCCGGCAAGTCCAGGAATCGGCATCATCTGTGTTGGGATGGCAGAAAGGTATTTGCACCAAGGTCTGGCATTGGGAATGCTGTGTTGTTGAACTTCATCGCAGTTGACGCAGTTTCGATGGACCCGGGCTGTCTGAGAACTGCGTCCGAGGACTTATTCTGTGTGGGAAAGGTCGCTGGGAGACGTGGATCCACAAAGTCTGTGGTGGTGGTAGTGGTGGTAAGAAAGAGGATCGACAGAGTCGTTCGCTGTGGTGGTGTTGGTACAGAGACACGCGGGCAGCGTGGATGGTGCCGTGGGGCAATGGTTTAGTGCACTTGATGTTCAATGTGGAGGTCGCCAGGCCGATCTCCGGGCGCGGCAGTTAAATTAACAAATTGTCGAGTTCCTTAAACCCACACGCCCCACTCCCCCACCGCCACTATCCACGCAGCGGTGTAAATGGGTGCTCCACGGTTCGTGGAGCGGCACGCCGCGTGTGGGATTTGGCTTTCTCGCACCTCTTTCCAAGGCCAGCGTGGAAGAGTAGGCCAAATACCCTGCCCGAGGACCTCCACAGCTGGCAGGCATTTGCAGGGCTGCGCCTTTCCCCACGAGGGCGAGAACCCCTGCGAGGTGGTGACGAGGAGGAGGTGACGAGGAGGGTGGCGGCCCCGTCGTGGCATTTATACTTTGACAAAACGTGCGGTGCGTCATCAGTCGGGCTGTGTGTGTGTGAGGCTGTGGGGCTGTGTGTGTGTGTGAGGCTCTGTGTGAGGCTGTGTGTGTGAGGCTGTGTGTGTGTGTGTGAGGCTCTGTGTGTGTGTGTGTGTGAGGCTCTGTGTGTGAGGCTGTGTGTGTGTGTGAGGCTGTGTGTGTGTGTGAGGCTGTGTGTGTGTGTGAGGCTGTGTGTGTGAGGGTGTGTGTGTGTGTGAGGCTGTGTGTGTGAGGCTGTGTGTGTGTGTGTGAGGCTGTGTGTGTGTGTGTGAGGCTGTGTGTGTGTGTGAGGCTGTGTGTGTGTGTGAGGCTGTGTGTGTGTGTGTGAGGCTGTGTGTGTGAGGTTGTGTGTGTGTGTGAGGCTGTGTGTGTGTGTGTGAAGCTGTGTGTGTGTGTGAGGCTGTGTGTGTGTGTGAGAGGCTGTGTGTGTGAGGCTGTGTGTGTGTGTGTGAGGCTGTGTGTGTGTGAGGCTGTGTGTGTGTGTGAGGCTGTGTGTGTGTGTGAGGCTGTGTGTGTGTGTGAGGCTGTGTGTGTGTGAGGCTGTCACAGTGACGCTGCTGGTGGTTTCTGCCACGGGCTGCTGTTGACGACGAGGAGTCGCAGGAGGAGACGTCAGGCCCCGTTGCCAGAGCAACCGGCGGCCACGATTGCGAAAGCAAATCTCATGCGCTCTCGTCTGTGCCGCACTTAAGAGACAATAATGCCCGTGGCATGTTTAAGCCTTCTTGCCAAATGACCGCGAATCTCTTGTCTGCTGTGTCTCTCTTGTCTGCTGTGTCTCTCTTGTCTGCTGTGTCTCTCTGTGTGCGTTGTCTCCCAAGGACCGGCTCATCTTGCCCTGTGTTGGTGTTTGCGTGCATCTCTGTGACCCCACAGAGTAACTCTCTCTCAATATAAAATTAGTAGACTGCTGCTTTAAAAAAAGAACACGCGTACAATAATACCCGAATATAAGTAAAGCTCAATGGACATGGAATCCTCTACTTGCGAACACTCGACTTACGAACTTTCAGAGATACGAACAAACCTGGTCCGTATGTCCAGTTGCCTGTTCGGACCGAGAGTTCGTAAGTTCAACCGCCGCGCAATAAATGGTGGTGGTGGCATCGACATCTGCAGAACATGAAGAACCGGTGGCATCTACAGAACATGAATAATAATATAATAATGCAATTTGTAACGCGCACAAATTTGCGGACGAAACGGCTGCAACTCAGAGGCGCGGAGCCAAGCTCAGAGTCACTCGAAAGTCGGGTTGTAGAGGTGCGATTTTAAGTGTCTCTTGAAGGAGAAGATGGAGGTGATGCTGCGAATGTGTAGTGAGTCCAATTGAGTCGCAGACGTTATCTTAGGAGCAACACTTTATTTACACAACGGTACGTAACACAACACAATCTACACTCGGGTCTCGAATGCCCATCTCACCACGCTACGGCAGAACTAGACACAGTTCGCTATCCCGGTCCGGACCAGGAGCTGGGTCCCGGACCACGTGGCTAGAGGCTTCTTCTCCCGGACGTGGATCTTCTTCACACCGGCACACGAAGAACCTCGACCTCCTCACGGGCGCTCGTTATATGCCCCCGGGCTGGGGCTGGCTCCGCCCTTCGCCCCGCCCACCTTGCAGGTCTCTCAAGCTCCTTCTCGAAGGTTCCCGAGAGCTCTTTTGGGCCACGTGACCACCCAGTGGCCCCTGTCCACCGGTGGCCCCCCTCCAATATCATCCGGTCACGTGTCAGCAGGTCAACCAGCGTATCGTGCCCCAAGGTAATCCTGGCTGGCTGACGCTCCCTCTCGCTCCCGGAGGCACCGCACACTGTTCGCGGTGCCTCCGCGCTGACCAGCGCTCACCCAAGCCCCGCTAGGGCTGGTACTACACCCCGTATCCCGGGCTGCCCATAATGACAACACATTACCCCCCGTGGCTTCGTAAGCCCCGGCACCATACAGTGACAAGCACAGTAACTACAAAAGTAAAAAGTGCATTGTGTGTGCGTCGATGTATGTGTGTGTGTAAGTTCATGTGCGTGTGTGAGTTGCTGTGTGTTTGTAAGTCGATGTGCGTGTGGGTCGATGTGTTTTGTAAGTTAATATGTGTGTAAGTCGATGTGTGTGTGTGTGTGTAAGTCGCTGTGCACGTGTGTGTAGGTTAATGTGTGTGTAAATCGATGTGTGTGTGTGGGTCAAGGTGTGTGCGAGTGGATATGTGTGTTTGTAAGTCGATGTGTGTGTGTGTAAGTCGCCGTGCACGTGTGTGTAGGTCGATGTGTGTGTGTGTGTAATCGATGTGTGTGTGTGAGTCTGTGTGTATGTGTTGCTAGGCACGCTGAGGAGAGACTTGCGGAGCCCCAATGCGGTTTCAGGAAAGGGCGGTCCTGCACAGATGCCATATTTTCCATCCGTCTGCTACAGCAGAGGTGTTGGGAATTCCAACAAGACCTACATCTCTGCTTTACTGACCTGGTCAAGGCCCATGATACCATCAGTAGGCCTG